TTATACGTAGTTGTTTTACTTTTCTTGCTTTGTGAATGTCTAGTGTTTCTTGTGATGCTTTAGCCCATGGTAGATCAGCTATGAGCTCCAACCAACTGCGAATGACACCATGCTCAGGACTGAAAGGACCCATCCTTTTGAGCCTTTGCAAATCCTTGATAACAATTTTGCGGGCATGTTGAGGTAGCTTGGCTTCTCTGCATTAACAAATACAGGTCAGCGGATCAGTTCACAAGTTTCTGAAATTGAATAAATACGAATAAGTCTGAACTTACTTCAATTTTTTTTGGAGCTCTAGTAAATCATTTGTATCGCTATTGCCATCCATTTCATCATCAGATCTTTTAGAAGTTTTGGGACCATCAGCAATATTCTGAAAGGGCATGATCATTCGTCGACCTGGGTTACTCTCCAACGAGGTTCCTTTACGAATAACCTCCAGCACTAGGATAGAGAAAATCAGTTAGATATAAGTTCAAAGGCTTTCAAGTGCAAATACCTACTTTCTAGGAAATTCAATTAACAGACGTGTTCATACTTTTAACTTGTCTCACAAGAAGTGGAAGGGCTTTTTTAAACCTTTCCATTAGGTCAATTGCATCGAGAATTTCTAGTTTTTCAGTAAATGAAGCTTTGGTGAGAGATGCCACCAAATCAGCAAGCATAGTGTGGGGAATAGAATTCAGCATTTTCTAGGGGACAAAAAACAAGAGACAAGAATTAACGTAGACTTGGTATCAAATTACATAAATAAATTCCACATTCCTGCATTACATCTCAATTTAAGATACCTTTAGTCTTGCTACGACAGGACTGGACACATCAAGCATATCAAGTAACTTTGTAGATTCACTTCTGAAATTTTCCACCAAAGCTGCAAACTCAGGGTTTTCATCATCATCTTCTAAAACAAAATGAAAAATTAATGAATCTATTTTCAGGGCAAGAAGATTGGCATTTCATAGAAGCAATAGAAAAATGTGTCTCACCATCATCGATTGATAATTTGTCCAATTGTGTAACAACACCTACGGGATAAGGTACTTCCATTACAAGCTTATCCAGTCTGAAGCGGCACAGACCAGTGACAAGTAGGGTGAAAGAAGGACGTGGCCAATTGGTTCCAGTGACCTGAACCACTAAGGCTGCCGTTCCAATATTGTGCATTGCTCCAATATCCTAAAGGACAAACAGAAAAGAATATAATAGAAGCTGGGACAAAAAGAAGCTCTTTACATAAGAATTTATAAGGTTAACAGACAATCTTACATCAGATTCAAACTGTCCTGGTTCCTTCGGTAGAACACCAATGATAGAACTCGACAGAGAGCTCTTGCTTAAAAGGCGGCTCTTCACCATATTAATGCTGTTAAGAGAAAAATTTCGATATAATAAAAACACCAAGTTTCTTTTTCAAAAGGATCAGAATTACAGAAAAATAATTCTTGGTTTGCTCAGACGAGCATAAGAACATTTGCACTCTGAAAGTTGTTGGTAGATAGAAAGTTCCTGAACCTGAGCTAAGCAGCTCAGAGTGTAAAAGGTATTTTGGATTACTCACTTAGCTGATGAGGTAACAGATACCCGTATCGATGACCCCGGGAGGAGGACATCTTCGGTGACGAGAAGTAACGGAAGTTTTCTCGGTATACTTGCAATGGATGTCATTTTTATAAAGCAAAACAATAAGCCGTCTCCTGTTGTTTTGGTAAAATCATCGCCACTGCCTTCTAGATCCTTCTATACACAGTCCAAAGTCTAGCAGACGCCATAAAGCTTTCTTAGTGATGCAGAAACTTTCTCATACTGTTCAGTTTACCCGCGATAATTTAAAGTATTTAACTAGATTTAGCGCGCTTGTTTTTCACGAATGTCGTTCAGTCTGACCAGTCCGTCGGAAGGTGTTGATGGTGAGCATTGAGCAGTTTCGTAAAGTAGTGTTAGTTTTTGTACCGGAATGTTGTGTTGTTGGTAACAATGGTATGATAAGTTGGTATCTCGGAGGTGAGCGCGGGGTGAGCGCGGGCATTCCCTTGATCTATCTAGTCAATCTAGGCTGTTATGGGGTGGCGCCACTCTATGGAACACACCCTGTGAGTTGTGGTTGTGTTGTATTGAACCTATCTTGAACACAGGGATTCTCCCAAGGTCTGTCTATCAATCATCCAATCATATGCCCATATTAAGTACAACAGTTATTACAAGAGTAGCTTTCACAGCTATGGAGTTGTTAAAAATACTGTTCATTTCACGAAAAATGATATCGATGAATTTCGAATTTTTGCAGAAAGTTGTCCAAAAAATCTCCAAAATAACGTACAATTTGAAAAAAAAAAGAGGAGCAGGCCCAACTGGAAAAACTAAATGTTACCGAGGGAACGTTTCATCATGTGACCGACCAAGCCAGGTAACGTTTCCTGATGCAACCTACCCCACGCAAAAGTATAGGGCCATCACAAACAGGTTGCATCACCAAACGTTTCCTAGTTTGGTTGCGTCAAGAAACGTTCCCTCGGTAGCATTAGTTTTTCCAGCCCTGTAGGACAAAACGCTGAGGCGCTGCTTCCCAGAGGGGCCGACCCCAAGTTCTTTGCATTGAAGGATTTCTCTCGGAACCAGCTATGCTACGCGCTCTCGAAGAATGTTCAGTGCCCAGTCGGTGCAACCTCCCCCGTCTATGTGTGTGTTGCTTGCGGGCCAGGCGCCCCGCACGCCGCCGGGTGGACAGCCGTGCGCAGCGGGCGGCCTATGCGCACTCGCGCAGGCGCTCGCCGCCCTGCAGCAGCCGAGCCTCCGCCGTCCGAGACCGCCAGCCTTGTCAGCCTCAGGCCGAGGTGGGATGTGGGCAGTCTGGAGCGGTCAGATGTCCGCTACTCTGGCTGGACTTTTCGTCACGGACATCTGGCCGCGCGGACAGAAGCGGGACGCGGACACCCCGGACGCGTTTTGTGTTGGGGGAGCTCCACTCCGTTCGGCTGGGGCAGGCTTCAAGCTCATACGAGCTTAGAGGCGCCTGACCGGGAAAAACAGAGCAAAACGGACGAGATTTGTAATCCCGAAAAGTCATTCATTTTTCTTCAAACATTCGCCCCATTTTTCTTGTTTCTATAACTTTTGCATGGGCCGTTTTTTTTTGTTTTTTCTCGTTTTTGAACAGCCAGTTGCTACTGGTAGGAGCCGGGCTGCTCCCCCCCCCCCCTCCCTTTCTCCTCTTCCTCTCCCTCCGCTTAAAGTCCTCTCTCCTCCTCCTCCCTCCTTCCAGTCACTTCAGCCGCGCGTTTGCCCACAGCGGACGAAAAACACCATCATAAAAATAAAATAAAAACAAGATGGCGACCGAGGAAAAGACAATGTAGCGGGCGTGGGAAGAAGATGGACCTGGCGGGAGGGGAGGGGGGCGGCGCACGGAGTGAAGTTCCATCATCAGCTGGCCACCGGAATACGGGCCATTAAAATAGGAGCGGGCTCCGGCCCGAGCGCTAAAGCTTTTGCTCGGTGAAAAGATTTCTATTTATTAAAAAAAAGTGAGTGGGGCTGTGTCCCAATGGTGCAGGATCGTGCAAAATATATATATAAAAAAAACAGTAAAATTCTAAGGGCGAGCAAGCCAATGAAAAAAATGCAAAATGCATTGGCTTCGCACTCCGCGATCCCCTCACAAAAACAAGATCATTCCGAAATTCGAGCCGAACATCGTCCTGGCCTGTTTCCCGAAGGCGGTCTGACTGTCTCAGACAGTTCAAATCCAAGTCCGTAATAAAGTCCGAGGATCCTCCATTTGGCCCTGCCTGCCGGGATGGTGGAATTCGACTGACCGGCTGGACGTAACCCGGCCTGCACCTGCTGGAGCGGCGTGGCACGGAGCTATGCCAAAGCGCGCGGGCAGCGCGGGGGTGCGGGGGGCGGCGCGGGGGCGGCTCAGCGTGTGAGAACCTGGCGGTGACCGCCTTCCCGGCCCCCGCGCCGCTCCGCGCCCTCCTCGCGGGGCTTCATTCATAGCTCTTTCTTTCGCGTGTGTGGGGCTCCCGCTGGAAAAAGAGGGAAGGCAAGGTCGGGGGAGAGGGAGAGGGGCGGACGGGAGAGGTTGAAAAAGGCTTACATTCCCCCTCTCCCTCTCCCTCCCCCCCACTCCTTCCCCTCCCCTCTCCCTCCTCTCTGTCGCTCTCGCTATCCCGCTCTTCCATATCTGCCCTTCTAGCGAAGTGAGAGAGGGAGAACGACATCACGCGTTGCGAGAGGGGCGCCCTCTGCAGTGCGTGTCAGGCCGCGCGCTTGTGTGTGTGTGTGTGTGTGTGTGTGTCATTACGGTACGCTCATTTCCCCCCTTTTCCTCGACTCTGGGCACGCGCTAATTAGTTGTTGGCCAGCCGTCTTTTCGCTGCTCGAACGGAGGAGGGAATTCCAATACTCATTTACATATGTGGTCGCTCGAAAGCAGCGAGCGATAGCCAGACAGGACATTCTCTGCAATTCCATAATTTAAATTAAATTTATGGTCGGCTTCCACTTTATTATCGATTGCCTTTGAATCATCGCAAGTTTTAATCTAAAACAAAAAAAATCTTTGATGATATTTAGTGGGATGAAAATAATAAAAAAACAACAACTATAGAGCTCTTTCAAGGGTCACTCTATCGCACTGAGAAGTTGCTAGTTGTGTGCATTTGTCTGCCGTTGCACACCTTGCAGCCGCGCAATACCGCGCCGCTGGCGGCCGTTGGCTCACGCACGATAGGACAGGTCGTGTTTGCTACTGCTGCTGGAATGCCTCGTTATTGGCGTGGCGTCCAATCACACAGCAGCACCACGCTCGCGCACACTTGCGACACAAACAACACTCTCACCCCTACCACCACCACCAACCACCATGCTCTTTTACACTGCTCAATCCTCACACTGACTCACGGTTACACTGTACGAAAAAAATCGCTTCTAAAGCGCAGCATGAATGTTTTCCATAGAGGTCCATCGGAGTGAGTCCAGGGACCCCAGGATATTTGTACCCCCCCCCCTCCCCCTTAAGGTCACGCAGTATGGGAGTGCCCACTTACCGCCGGCTATACTATAAGGGTGCAGGCAGCAGGCTCCGGATCCTGTCGGGCCGGTCCGTCCGTCGTCGCCGTGTCGCCGGGTGAGTTCCCGGGAGGGGTGGGGAGGGGGGGGGGCGGCGCTTCTGGAGGCGCTGCTGGAGGCAGTCATCAGCTATCGGCGACCGCATCGCCTGCGCCGAGGGCGTCCTGGCCGGAGGGTACCGGAGGGTACCGGAGGGTACCGGAGGGCCGCCGGGGACCGCATTCCGCGACGCCGGCCCATTGTGAGCCCTGCGCTCCCACACTGCCGCCGCCGCGGGGAGGAGCAGCGGCAGCGGCAGCAGCCCC